ATCATAATAAATTAAGAAGCACTTCATAATTGCATACATTATATTTAACATATTTATTAATTATAATTTATTAATTATAATTTATTAATTATAATTTATTAATTATAATTTATTAATTATAATTAAAATCTTTCTTGTTCAATAAAATGTTTATACATGTGTACGATACTATAATACAAAAATTAAAAAATTAATGTATCAATAATAATATTCATATTTCTGATATATCAACTTATCCGTTTTATGTTAGAACAGGTAATATATCCATTATCCTGTTTTAATAGATTATGGCATAAAAATTATAGAAGGTTGACAACTTTAATATCTATAAGTGCTTTATTAATTGAAATTACAAACATCCATTATCGTTACCATATAGTGCAACTTATGCAACTAACTGACCAGAAAAGTGCAGTTTGAAATAGTAACCGTGTGTGCAATGACCAAAAATATTCAAACAATTTTAACGCCATTTCTAACGATCAGTTATATGTTTGGTTTAAGAATTGCTAATTTGTCTACAGATCTCTCGAAACTATGGTTTAGTTTTTTATATATGCTGTTAGTTTGGTTGATTTACTATTTTCTTTCGACACGTACATTAGTGTATTCTATTCATGAATCTTATCCAATTGAGTACCACATATGTTATTGGCTGGAGATATTTATGACTTCATTATCAATCGTGTTTGGTATATATCATAATAAGGTAAGAAAATGTTAATACATATTGTCATTACTATAATAAGCAATTTCGAACGTATTCCACAGCTAAATTATAATAAAATATTAATCCAGCACGCGTTGAGAAAGTTCTTTGCGTTGATTACGTTGAGAAAAAAAACGCAATAAAAATGCATTCAATATTTGATACAAGATATTGTATTATATTACTAAATTTTTTGGTTCAATACTAATTACCTATACTTGCTTTACTTTGTTTGCTCGTCTAATTGTAACTTCTTCAGAAATTCCAGAATTGCCTAAAGAGGTTTGATATTGTTGACAATACGCTGTTAGAACTCGGAACAGTAATAGATTATGACAAATTACATAAAAAATCATTATGGATCGTCTTAGGATGGTTCATAGTAGTTATATCATTAAATAGTATAACGGCACTGTTCGTAAAAGCTGAACATGACTGTGACATTTTAACTGCTATGATTGTCGTCTTCACACGAAATTACTCTTTTCATATTAATGCTATCGGTGACTTGACTACTGCAACTATTCTTGGGTTGGTACAACTTTTTATACACATGACAGTTATTTCATAGCATAAACATGTGTATAAATTAATAAAACTAAATTATTATAGATATACAAATTCAAGTTAAAATTAAATATTTTTAAATTTGATACGGTACACTTATCTTCTAATAATAAAATTATCCAGTAATTTTTTTCTTTCATATGTTTAGCTACATAGGATTAAAATTTGATCAAATAAATAAACACCTTCAGGATTTGACAGGAGATGACAAATCTGGAATAAAATTGACTTCGAAAAATTTCATGATACACTCGCATCGACACAGACTTTCGAAAGCTCTAAGCAGTCAATGTATAATATGGACTGTTATGTAAGAAAGTATTCGTAAATTCTAGCAATTAAATGCAGAAATTTTACTTATTGTTAGTAATATTTAATATTGTGTACAAGCAGACATCTCCAATTGGAATTACGCAAAATATCCTGTGAGATAGA